TCAATAGCATTTTTATATATCAACAGTGAACTCTCAGAAAAAGAAACTACAAAAACAATAGCATTTACCATTGCAACTAAAAAAATGAGATACCTCGGAATAAACCAAGGATATAAAAGACCTGTACTCGGAAAACTACAGGACAAAAAAAAAGAAATAGAGGCAGATATAAACAAGTGGAAGTATACACCATGCTCATGAATTAGAAGAATTAATATTAAAATGTCCATACTAAAAGCAATCTATAGATTCAATGCAGTTCCTATTAAAATAACAACAGCATATTTCACAGAGATAGGACAAATATTCCAAAAATTTATATGAAACCAAAAAAGACTCCAAATAGCTACAGCCATCTTGAGAAAGAAGAACAGAATTTGAGGGATCACTTTACTGGATATCTAACTGTACTAAAAAGCCATTGTAATCAAAACGACCTGGTATTGGTTCAACAACAGACATATAGATCAATGGAACAGAACAGAGACCACAGAAATAGACTCAAGTCATTATGGTCAGTTTAATATTTGACAAAGAAGTCAAGAGCATACAATGGAGTAAAGACAGTCTCTTCAATAAATGGTATTGGGAAAATTGGGCAGGTACATGCAAAAAAATGAAACTAGGTCACCAACTTATTCCATGCACAAGAATAAATTCAAAATTGGTAAAATACTTAAATGTAAGTCGCAAAACCATAAAAATCCTGGAAGAAAACATAGGCAGTAAAGTCACAGACATCTCATGTAGTAGAAGTTTCACTGATACATCTCCTAGGGCAAGAGAAACAAAAGAAAAAAATAAATAGGACTAGATCAAACTAAAAAGCTTCTGCACAGCAAAAGAAATCAGCCTCAAAATACAAAGGATCCCCACAATGTGGGAGAACATGTTTGCCAAGAATGTATCTGATAAGGAACTAATTTCCAAAGTGTACAAAAAACTCATACAATTCAACAAAAGGAAGACAAACAATCCAATTAACAAATGGGCAAAGGACCTGAATAGACACTTCTCCAAAAAGGACATACAGATGGCCAAGAGACATGAGAAAATGCTCAACATCGTAATCATCAGAGAGATGCAAATTAAAACCACGATGAGGTATCACTTCACACCTGGCAGAATGGCTACCATCAACAAATGACATGTGCTGGCTAGGATGTGGAAGGGAAACCCTGGTACACTGCTGTTGGCAATGCAGACTGGTGAAGCCACTGTGGAAAACAATAGAGAATTTCCTCGAAATATTACAAATGGATCTGCCTTTTGACCCAGTGATCCCACTTCTAGGAATATATCCTAAGAATCCTGAAACACTAATCACAAAGAATACATGCACCCCTATGTTCATAGCAGCACAATTTACAATAGCTAAGATCTGGAAACAGCCCAAGTGCCCATCAGTAAATGAGTGGATAAAAAAGGCCGTGGGGACATTAACACCATGGAATACTATGCAGCTGTAAAGAAGAACAATCTCTTACCCTTTGGGACAGTATGGATAGACCTGGCGAATATTATGCTAAGCAAAATAAACCAGCCAGAGAAAGACAAGCATCACATGATCTCACTTATATGTGGAATCTAAAGAACTTAATAAACTAATGAACAAAATAGATTCAGTGACATGGAAGCATGTATCAGACTGGCAAATCACAGAGGGAAGGTGGGGATGTGTGGGTGGGGAGAGATCAACCAAAGAATTTATATGCATATATGCATAACCCAAGGACACAGTGTGATGGTGAGGGACTGGG